TTGCCTCGAAATAGAGGAGTTTTTTGTGTCTGGCCCCATCACAGACCCTGGTGGGCTCAGGCACAGCGGTGACAACCACTCATGGGGGTGGCTTTACCACCAGAGCACACGGGGAATGACTTTTGGTTTGTCCTTCCAAAATACATCAACGAAAACAATCCCAAGCTTGTGACTGAACTGAGCTGAGCCTCGTGCCAGACTCATCTCGTGCTTTGCTCAGCCCCAGGGAACCCCACACAGGGCAGGAACCCCAGTGGGTGTCCAGGACATCCAGCTCAGCCCCCTCCATCAGGGCACATATAACCTGCATATGCAGGTTTTCTGCAGCCTAAGAACAGCTCCACACATGCTTGTCTCTTGTTCTCTCTCCTCTTCCCAGTTTTCACAAAGCCCTGGCTTGGCTGGCAGAGTCAGGGACATAAGAAGGAGACAGGCTGATGGACAGAGGCTCCCACTGAGGCAGCGAGATCACAGAGAGTAATTTCCTTGGGAAACAAACCTGTGGGGGGAAAAGGAAAACATTGTCACTGTTTATCTTCTTTCAGCAGGTTTTGTTTTTTCCATTGGAAAAAGCCAGTAATGCAGCAAAACAGCTTCATGAATATACAGATTGTTTTTGGCAACAGCCAATTAGCAAGGAATGTGTTCGTGCAATCCCCAGGCAGCTCTTTCCCTGGGAATATCTTGTTTTGAACAAGCCATTTTCCATCAGAGAAAATACACAGAGTGACAAATAGACCTCGCTGCCTCCTGTGAGTGGAGAGGGGCAGGCAGCTCCCACCACTGGCTGTGCACTGGGAGGGCTCACATTCCCACCCCGGGAATCCCTCCACGGCAACGGGATGAGCACCCAGCCCCTGTTCCCACCTGCAGTAACTCAGTGCATGCAAAGACATCTGCAAACAGGGCTGGCAGGACAATGCCAAACCCAGCCCACTCACCTTTTACTCGCTCTCGAGTCCTTCTGATCCTGCTGCTTGGATTGTGGGTCCATGGAGACAGGCTGGGAGAGCTGGGGGTGTTCAACCCGGAGAAGAGAAGGCTCCAGGGAGACCTCAGAGCCCCTTCCAGTGCCTAAAGGGGCTCCAAGAGAGCTGGAGAGGGACTTGGGACAAGGGCCTGGAGTGACAGGACAAGGGAGAATGGCTTCAAACTGACAGGGCAGGGTTAGATGGGATATTGGAAAGAAATTCTGTGCTGTGAGGGTGGGGAGGCCCTGGCACAGGTTGCCCAGAGAAGCTGTGGCCTCCCCATACCTGGAAGTGTCCAAGGCCAAGTTGGATGTGGTTTGGAGCAACCTGGTCTGGTGGAAGGTGTCCCTGCCCATGGCAGGGTGTTGGAATAAGATTGCCTTAAGATCCCTTCCAACCCAAACCATTCCTTGACTCTGTGACTCTACAAATATTCACCTGCAACAAGGCAGCTTTTATGAAACATTTGCAGCACCTACAACTGACACTCAAAGCTCACCAGTGCTGTATTACTGGGGTCTTGAAAGGTTTGGGCACAGACCTTTGCTCATGGGACAAAACAGAAAGAAAAATGTCCTGGTGTGCACGAAGAGACCTCTGCCCATGTGGAAAGTCAGTGCTGGGGCTCATTCCTGCTACTGCAAATCACACCATGGGACTTTGGGGTGTTATTCACCACAACCCATGGCAAACACCTGTGTCCTGGTATATCCCACCCAAAAAGTCCCAGGCTGAGGTTCCCCAGGGTTTCTATCACCTCTCCAAGCCCAGCCTGAGTCCTTGCACAGGCCACGCAGTGTGGAGACAGAAAACACAACACTCAGGTCTTCCAAATGATCACCTGACAGCTTTACCTGAGAGACAGTGAATGCCCTGACCCACAGACCAGGGAGACGAGGTGCTCAGAGTCAGCTATGATGGACAGCTTTTTATTTCCCAACGTTTTTCATTTAACAAAGTGCTACATTCCGTAGTTAACAGTATGAGGAGTTGTTCCTGTTCGAAATAGAAAACCACAAGGAAGCATGAGGACTGCTAACATCACCCTATGGAAGCAGTGCAGTCCAGAGAAACCTCACCAAGGGGGAACATCTGGCCTTGGAGACACCTTTAAAAATCAGCAGCTGTATAGAAGAGGTGTGTTTCATCAGGGCAAGAGCTGCACACCAGCCTGGTTCCTCCTGTCAGAAACAGGGCTGGAGATGCTGTTGTGTGATGCCTTCAGGAAATTCTGGCTTGTGCTATCAGGAAAATGCAAAACAGAGGCGAGGGGCTTGTCTTGTGTCAGTTGAGGGATTATTTTATTGCTGCAGTGAAGTCGCCGTCGCAGCCGTGCCCGTGTCACCTCAGCACTCAGGGGTTTGCAGTTCACCCAGCACAGAGGATGAGGTGGATCCTTCTTGGCTGCTTTTCCTGTCCTGTCTCTCTCAAAAGAATCTGCTTGCTTGGCAGTGCAGAGGTACAGATTAAATCAGCAGAGCGTTAAGCTGCTGGAGCTTCAGCTCCCACCTTAACCCCTCCTGCCCTTCCCCCTGCCATCTCTGTTCAAGGAAATGAGTTAAACTCCAGGAATTGTATAGAGAAAAATTCTAAGAGCCCAATCCAAAGTCTACTGGCCTTGGATGAGAAGGACCTGAATGATGCTTGTGCTCTCAGGGCCTTCACAAACTGCACTGATGCTGGGGGCACAGCAGGAAACCCTGTCTGTGCTCCAAAGGCTCCCACAAGCTTCCCTGGCATCCAAGGCTGGTTCTGACTGTCCAACTTGCTTCCAGGTTAAGCTGAAGACATGGGAAGCCTGGTAGCTGACCAAAACCAACTATTCAACAGACACCTTCCCTTCAAATGGACATCAGCTGGGATCTCTGCACTGCTGAGCAGGTCAGAAAGTCGGCCAACAGTAGTCAGCTCCCAGTCAAGGTTCCTTGGTTGGTGTTCAGAGCCAGAGACAGGCCTGGCAGTGAGGATGGACCACAAGCAAAACCCTTCTAGCTGTTAAGTCTGTCTCCAGCAGAGACCAGGGAGCCCACACTGAACTGTGCATGCAGCTGGATCTCCCTTCTGGCCACCACGCTTGCCCAGGCTGTCTCACCACACCTTCCATATATCCACTTGCAGCTATTTGTCAGCCCCACTGGTGGCACTGCTGACTTCCAGCATCCCACCCAGCCTTGCCATGTCCTCTCTGAGGGAAGCCCACCCAGCTGATGCAGTAAAACCCCACCTTTGTCATTCTGACTGACAGGGTTGCCTCTAACTCCTTAATTTCATTATGCTGGGGTGGGAGAAGAGAGACAGGGAGACTAATTGCCACTGCAGAAAGCCAGTGTTTCCCAAACTGTGGATTTATTGGCACAACCAGAGGCCTTGGTACCTCCCCACCCGCCTTCCCAATCCATCAAATTGACAACCCATCCAGAAAGATCCTCCTGTGCTGCCAGAGCTGGGGTACTTAAACCAGCAGCCTGCAGCCTTGCTCAGCCATCCCTCCTCCTTCTCCTGACAGGCCCAGCAGCTCTGCATTTTACTGGACACTAAACACAACTTATGCTCCAAGACAGGCTCCCTCTTGCAGAGGCCAAGCCCCTTTATCAGTGCTGATTCCCTGTGCCTCCCATGCTGGGCCAGGGTAAAGCACTTCAAGAACACCTTGCAGCTGCCTGAGTCTCATTTCCAGCCTGCCTGGCACTGTACCTGAAAAACAAGCCTTTCTGAAGATGATCTCCAGCAACCTGGAATGGAGAAGTCGTTTCACTTTGCAAGCCCCCATCGTGCCTTGCCAGGAATAAATCACCAAAGAGCCCAAGGGACGACATATCCTGATTTCCAATGCTGCAAGGCCATCAGCAACGCTCACCTGGACTGCTGATACTTCCTGAGCACCTCCAAGAGACTTAAGAATGAGAGGGAAATAGGGACAGATGAGCCTGGGAGGAAAACTTCACCATAACTTGGAGTGATCGCTTATTATGGGAGAAGGAAGCTTTAATTTCGGGTAGGGGCACCTGGACTTGGTGGATTGCCCCTCAGTGCCTGATAAAGATGTGGGGCTGATTTTAGCAGGGCAAGATTCTCCTGGTGAAAGTTTCAGGAACCAGAAGGGAGGGTTGCACTGTGGAGCCCTGTCTGGGAAAGCCTGAGCTGGAGGGACTGGGGTATGAAGACCTTCCCTGGCATGTTGATGGACCAGTCTCCTGGTCTTAATGTCCAGACGAGGCCCTGACCTCCTCAAAGAGAACTCAGCCTGAGGAGGGGCTTCCCAATGTCCTGCCTTGCAATCCTACTCACACTGCCATGAGGCATTTGCTTCCCATCATCAACATCTACCTTCCACCCTCTTTCCACCTTCACAAGGAATGAAATCCCGCACCTGCCCCTCCTCAAACTCTCCTCCCTCCACTTCTTGAAAGGCTCAGTGGGATTTAATCTCACAGAGGTGTGGTCTGCCCTTATTCCTCTGATCAGGCCTCCTCTGGCAACAGTCACTGTTCCTTGCAGGAAGGCTGATTCCCCATAAAACAGTGACTCCCACCTCAGAAATGTGGATGTTTTGCACAAAACGTCAGATTGAAGTAATTCCATAACCACCAGCAGAGATCAAGTAACCCAGCCCTTTTTCCAGCTATTTTGGCAGTGTTTCTGTGCAGAGCAACATCAGCCTCCCCCTGTCTGGTGCCTGTGACCTGGGGCTAACCCAGGCAGCACAGCAACTGGCCCTCCCCCTGTGCCACCCTTGGCTTCACCTCCACCTTCCCTGAATCCACCTGTCCTACAGCTCCACCTTCCCCCTCACAGCCAAGAGTTCCCACTGTGGCCATTTCTCACCAAACACCTCTCCAGCTGGGGCTGCTTTCCCACTGTTAGCCGTGAATCCCTCAAAGTGACAGTCCCCTGCTCCACAACCTTTAGTGCCTTTCTGTACCCTGTGGGTCTGCAGACCAGTTGCCCAGGGGAGCTGTGGCTGCCCCATCCCCAGAAGTGTTCCAGGCCAGGTTGGACATAGCTTGGAGTAACCTGGGATATTGGTAGGGGGGTTGGAATTAGATGGTCTTGAAGGTCCCTTGCAACCCAAACCACTCTGTGATTCTGTTAGACGAGACCCACCCAAATCCCCCCAAAGGTGCTGCTGTTGGTGCTACTTTCAGGGGCTGAAAATGCCATTTCCAGCGGGTAAACGGGGCAGATGCTCCACTTTCACCTCTATGGGAACGCAGCCTTGGAAAGAGATGAACCACTAACTAGTGCCCCTCAAAGAGGGGGCAGGAGCCGAGGATGCCTCTGACCTGCCTCTTCCCTGACCTGCACCGACCAAAAGCTGAGAGATCCATGCAAGGCCACCCGTCAGCAGGCGAGCGCTGGTATTTATTGTGCTGTAACAGACAGTGCTGGTTGAAAATGGACAGGAATGTGGGGAAATCAAGTGCTGAGGCCATTCCCGTGTGTCTCCAAGCAGTGTGGAGCAGAGCTGAGGGGAGAGAGCAGGGGTGAGAGTCGGGCACCCAAGTGCAGAAATGTGCTTCAAACCGAATCAAGAACACTGTACATGGGCACTTCTCGGGTGGCCAGGGACACAGCTCAGGTGTACAACTCATTAATTAAGCAGAGCAGCTAATCTTAGCACTAATGAACTCTAGCTCAGGTAATGTAACATTTAAAATTAATTGGACAGCAGCCATTCACAGTAAAGATTTCCATTCCCGGGTTAGGTGAGAGCTATTGTTATGATTAGATTACTGCCAGCCAGGACCAAAACAGTACACCAGGGGTGAGAGGAAAATAATCATCCATATGGATCAGCTCCAGCTTGTAACGAGACGCGCTGTGGGACCTGAAATGTGAAATCTCCACTACTGTACCAAACAAACATCACTGGCGGGACACGAAGAGCGTAGCATGCCTTGGCCAGGGCACTGAGCCCTGCTGGGGCCCTGGGGTGCTGGAGAGAGCAGGGATGCAGCACAGAGTCACTTCTTCTTCTTCTCCCTCTCCCTCCCTTCCTTGGAAAAGTCACAAGGGCACTGCAGTCCTGTTCAAAATTCGTCTTCGGAGCTGTCAGCCAAGAGCATGACTCGGTCCTGCATGCTGTTAAACTCCCTCTGCTGGGGGCGGAAAAGAGACATGAAAAGAGCTCCACGTGCAACAAGGAGATTGGATAAAAGGCATTTGGATCCCCCCCATCCCATAACCAAGACATCCCGGGCACTTTAACCATCCCCAGGCTGTGCTGGCTTTACAGCCAAGAGGGTTCATGGGAGGACTGGTGGGGTTGGGGGTCTTTCTCTGCGGTTTCCATACCTTTCTTTTATGCCTCTTGGAGCCGTTTCTCCTCCGGCGGTTCATGATCTTGATGCTGTAGAGCGCTCCCAGGATGAACAGGGCTCCGGCTATTCCCACTCCCACGGGAACTAGCATCCCTGACATGTACCCTGCCTGAGTGGGAGGGAGAAGCAGAGCAGCACTTCACCAGGCCATCCTTTCAGAGTCAGTTTTCAGCAGTTCTAGGGCTGAAACGTGTCCCTGTGGTTCTTTCCTCGAAGTTTATGGGATTTGAGTCCCTCCCGCCTGCCTGCACGGGGTGAGCCCTGGTCCCAGGGGCTAAGCAAGCCCCAGCCAGCCCCACTCCAGGACCAAGCTGTCAAACCACCACAGCTCCCTCATCCTTAGCTTTTTCTAACAGATGTGCAACTGTTGATAGTTGAGAACCTGCAGTGCTTGCCCAGATTCAGGAGAAGGAACAATTTGGGTGAAGTGTCCTCCAATATGGGCGTAAGTGCGAAGGAAAACCTCAACCACCAAGGCCAGGCAGTCTCAAGTCACACCAAAGATCTGTGACCACCCAAACAGCCTCACCAGATGCTGTGGAAAGCAGGCTGAGTGCTGCTCTGAGCTCCCCTCGTACCACCACCACCACAAATAAAGGCACAGGTGGATCACAGAATGGTTTGGGTTCGAAGAGATCTTAAAAATCATCTCATTCCAACCCCCCTGCTATGAGCAGGGACACCCTGCCCTCTCTGTGCCCAGCCCAGCCCGGGTCTCCTTCGCTTTGTACTCAAAATCTTTGAGCCAAACACTTTTTCTTTGCATGGGAAGGGGTCACTTGCATGAGGGCAGGATGGTGACACAGAGGGAGGGCACACACACCTTCAGCCGGCCCTAAGGAAGGCACAGCAAAAGTAAATCAGCTCTAATTCCATTGCTGTGATCTGCATGTTTGCACTGCCCATTAAAAAAAAAATATAGATAGCAAGACTAATTTAAAAATGACACATCTAAACGTTTAAAACCCTTAAGAAAATATTCCCGAGCGCTCGTTATTTTATATATTTTACTGCTTTAAATGAAAATGAACCTAAATTTTGAAGTGCCAGACTGCTTCAGCAGCCTCGCCTAATTCGGGTGGGGGGCCCAGTGTTGCAAGGGGAGGCAGGCACAGCCTGGCCCCCTCCCCCAGAAGCTCTGCCTTCCTTCACTCTGCTGTGCCGCTACAGCTTCACCTTAAGCCATCTCCACCCCCCAAAATAGGTTTTACACCTGCCAAGGGACAGATGCAGCAATGCTGAGGACCATTGCTTACAACCACTCATCTTCATCTGCACTCCCAAACTGCAACTCAGAGCCACAGCACACACTTACACCAGAATTACTTTCCTTCCATGATTCACAGAGTGGGAGGGGGGAAAAAAAAGGGAAAAAAAAAAAAAAAAAAAGAAAGCTATTCAGGTGCACTGCCCTGCCTTTGTACCCTTACCTGGAGAATGAAAATAGCTCCTTTCACCTAGGGCAGACACAATGCTAACAAGGGCTGGGTTGCTTTCCCAAACCTTTCTCAGTGCTTTAAATAGTAACACCTCTGTGTCTGGAGCCCAAGGCTTGAGGGATCTTCAGCTCCATTGTTCAGATTCCCCAACACCCTCCCAGAGAACCCATCCCCCCTTCAGCACAGGTGCTGGGAGGGGGCTGCACCCCTGCACCCAGCTCCTGAAAAAAAAAAAAAGGTTAGTGAGAGCACAGCTAAAAAGGCTCTATCTCTGCGAGGCAATTAAGGTGCCTTAATTGGGTGACCTAATTAGTGCAGCGTGGGGTTTTCTATTTCTGGAACTTTGCTGCTGGCACAGGCAGTGACTGGAAGTGGCTTTTAGCTGCTGCCCAGTTGAGTTTCCACGCAGAAATCACTATTTTTAATACAACAGACTCCTTAGCCTGGCTGTGAGCCTTTATCCCACCTGACCAGCCCAGGCCTTTTAGGGGTTTCCCCCAAAACCCAGATCAATGTTTTATACCCCAAAAGATGTGATGCAGACCCAGCTCTTCTGTGTTGTGCAGCCCAACTCCTGAGGGCTTCTGCACTTGCCTGACAGAAAACCCCATTTCCCAGGCAGCTCCAAAGCCATGTTTTTGATCCTTTCCCATGGGGAAGATGCAGCTTCTTCAGGGATGCTTTTAATGCACCCAGCCCATGACCGTGACCTTCCTGGGCTCTGAGATAACAGCAAGAGAACTTCAGGGGAACCTCATGCCCATTATTCACCACTCCAAATGCGACATTTGCACAGGAGACCAGACAGAAACCTGTCCCTGACCCTTGTCCCTGGTCCCACAGAAGGATGTATCTCTCAGGGATGTCCTGGGCCATCATGTGCCAGGATCCTCTTCTGGATGGAGCAATTGTAAAACAGAGGGAAGGGGCAAATGAGTAGGGCACATATGACCGGTGCTGATAACAAAGAAGAGGAGGGAATGGGGTGGACAGGTTTATTTGCTACATCAGCATTTGGTTGGGAGTGGGGGAGTGCTTTTTGTCCGGGCCTTTTTCGAAGGGAAAATGTGAGCCAGGTGAAAGATCTGCCTCCACGTGCCTGCTGTTCCCCAAAGGAGGGAGATGGCTCAGGGCCAAATCTCTGTTTCAGGCGGACACCACTGGATCCTCAGTTCCACCAGTGCTTGTGCTGGGCACTGCCAGGCAGTCCAGGATCGACCTGCAAGAGGCTGGAACACGGAACAAGCACCCCCTCTGCAACGGGGAAGGACAGAGGAGGCCACGAGGAAAGAAGTGAAAGCTGCACTTCAGTGAGAACACAGCGATGGCCCCAAGCTCGTGTGTGCCACGTGCTGGCATGAGCAGGTGCCCTGTGCATGCTTGCATTCACTCCAGGCACCCAACCAGCCCTGGTGTCTGCTCTTTACCTTCACTGGGAAAACCATTCTCTGTCCTTTCAGCGTCTGCTCGGGCTGAATCCCAGGCCAAAGAGCTCTGCCACGAGCAGAGCTCGTACTAGACATTCCTCCTTCCTAGTGTGGGCAGAAAAGCAACTCAAAAAAGGCTGGGCAGGAACCCACCTTAAACCCTTCCACTCCCCTGTCCTGGAAAATTGACACCCAGACCCCATCTCTCTGCTCTGACTTGGTGGTTAGGTGCTGCTGAACCTCGGTGAGGAAGGCTGGGTTCCTTGGGTGAGCTTAAGCTCACAGATGTATTTTCAGAGTTTCCTTGTGGTGGTTTTTTTCAACTATTGACTCTGATCCTGTTCAAGAATTTCCAAGTCTTGTTGACTGACAAAATGTTCTTGCCTTAAAACACCACTGCCACCTTCATATCCAGCTTCAGAGCTCTGGCACCAGCAACACAACATTTGGAAGGCTTCACAACTGTTTCAAAATGTTAATATTTGCTCCAGGGCAGCAGAGGCTAAAAAGCCATCACTGCCTGTGGCTGGCACAGCTCTCGATTCCAATGGATTACCCCCTGTGATGCCAGGGAGAAATGTTATTTTCTCAGTCCTCTTGTGTTTACTCTTTTTTCCTTCCAGGGATTTGCAGCTCTTCGTGCACACGGAGGGAGGGAATGTTTTGTCCGAGACACATGGCACACAGCCAGAGAGGAGCACCAAAAATCTCTTGATTTGGATTCAGAACCAAGCTTAGCACTTAGAGAAAAGGTGTGGAGGCAAGTTCCTTACCCTGGGATCCCTGGAAACACTCGAGGTCAGGTTGGACGGGGTGCTGAGCAATCTGAATCTGATCTAGGGGAAGATGTTCCTGCTCAGTGCAGGGGGGGTTAGACTAGATGGCCTTTTAAAGGTCCCTTCAACCTCAAACCATTCTATGATAAATTAAGGGGCCCTAAAAAACTAACTCTGGTTGTCTCACAACAAGGTCATTTTCTGATGCAGAGAAATCAATCAAATACCTCTGCCCCTCCTTCTGCTCTTACTTGCTGCCCATCAGGGATGTATTGTGGATTCACACCACCATATACCAGCAGCACCTCGTTCATTTGCCTCCCAGATAAATTTTGAAGCCCTTTCTCAATTTATCTGTAGAGATAAAGAACTGCACTGACAGGAGTTTATTTATTCCTGCGAGTAAACATGTTTTGCTTTGAAAGGAATTGAAATGCTGAGCCTCCTACCTTATCTTTCAGCTTCTCCATCCAGCTTCTCACTGAAAAATAAGACAAAAAAGCTGTAATCACGTTACTTACATTAATTAGTAACAAATTATAATGATGATATTAAAATAGACAGTAATTAACTTGACAAGCTGATAAGACTTTACATTAGAGTCCCTCTCATTCATGAGAAAAAGCAAATGCAGCTGAAAATCAACTCTTCGAGTGAGTTGGCAGGCAAGCAGCTCAACTTTTGCCTGAGCAATTCACACCTTCAGAGTGGTTAAAAAAGGAATATAAAACCAGTATTTCAGGTTGTGGATTTTTACTTCTCACACAAGGACAAGAAGAAGATCTTACAGTGCAGGTATCCCCTTCCACTGGCCTCCTCCACATTCTTCCTTCTACTTGGTACAGCCTGTAATGATGGCTAAAAAATTACTATTCCCTGTCTTATTCCCTTGTTTTTCTGGAAGAGCCACTGCCTGCTTCGGGAAGCCACCAGAGGGCTGGGGGAGCTAAACTGGAGGTGCTAAACTGGCAAACCAAGTAAATTTACACAGCCAGGACAGCGAGTTTCTTTTCCTAAGAGTTAATATAAGTTCTGTGAAGTTCTGCTTTGTTACAGAAAGTCCTTTCAGAGCTTGCATCAGCAGTATTAGGGTCTGCACATGCACAGACACCACCCAGGGCATCCTTCAGAAAGCAGCCTTGCTGTGAGTGGGGAGGGGCCAGCAGTAAATGATTATTTTATGCCTCAGATACAACACTACAAGTTCAAAGTTGTTTGAACACTCCCCTTTTAAGTGCCAGTAACATAACACTTTCCAAACAGAGGGATCCCGAATTACCTAGAGGTGAAAACATAAGAAACAGGCACAGGTGCACACACACAGACCCATGTCTGACAAGGATCTGGGAAAAAAAGAGGAATTATCCAGGAGAGACACACCCACAGCACTAGAAGAGGACAAGAGGTCTACTTTTATCAGCTCTTGCAACCATTAGTCCTGCCCTGCATGGACTAAGCCTGAATAAACTCAATTTATGGAGGTGCCATCACCATCCTGCGTGCCTTGAAGTCGCTCCCAGTGGAACACTGGAGAGGAAGGGAATTCACAGCTCCCTTGGGCCAGGTTTCTCAGCTGGGTTTCCAGGTGTGACACTGCCAGGAGGGACAGTGGCTCAGTAACACCCACAGCTTTAGGACCACAGGGCTTTGGACTGGTGTCCCCTGTCCCCAGACAGCTGCACTGTGCCCACCGCCGATGGAAGCCACCGTGCTGCTGGGTTGGCCCAAACTCAAGCTGAGCACAAAGCCTATTTTTATGTCTTTCCCAGCAACGATACGGGATCAGTGACCTCCTCAATAGCCGACCCACTTTCCTGCAGCTGAACAACGGCGCTCTAAAGCAGCAATTAACTCTGGAGTGTTTCTGCCAAGGCAGAGGCAGGGGCTGATCTAATGATATTCCATTCCCTATTTCCAGCAAACACGAGCTCTGGCTCCGTTCCCCTCTGCTCCGCAGAACAACGGCAGCGCGTCCGCTGGGACCCACAAACCCCACGGTACAAATCTTTGTTTGCCATCACATAATTGCTTATTATTAAAACCAGCCTCGTTTTCAGCCACGCAGAGCACACGTCAGATGCCTCTGGGAACCAACCCAGGCCGCAGGAAAAACAACCCAAGGTGATTTCTCCCAGATTGGGGGTGGCCGTGCAAGGGGTGCTCCGATGCGGCCACAGGCTGGCTGGCTGGGTCACAGCCTCTGACCTCTGCTAGAGGAAAATAATGGCCCCAAATTCATGAGATTAAGGCAGCAGGAGGTCAAAAAAAACCCTGAATGTCCTGGCAGAGCTGCACTGGTGTGTGGCAGCAGCGGATTCACCTCTCCTGGGAAGGAGTGGAGAGCGCGGAGCCGTCACGACCGAGGTCCTAGACTCTGCAGGAGTCAGGCTGGGGCCAGGACAAGTCAAGGAGCTCTGGATTACCATGAATTACCAACACTTCTCATGCCACTAATGCACAAAACTGCTTTAACAACTTTGAGGAAATGGCAGGTCACCGTGTCATCCAAACCAAGCACTTACTGCAACAATTCCTTACCCATCTGGGGACACTGTGGGGTGCGGGCAGGAGACAAGGCATTATTTCAAGTCAGAATTTTTATCTATGCTAAGCAGCTACCATCAATTAACTCTGGACTTCAGACTCTAATTATGCATCATTATCCATGATTAATATTCTGAACTTGGTCCTGGAAGAGGAACATTGTGGTTGGCACCTTCTCATGAACAGGCAACGCTCTCCAAGAACACCGGGTGACTTTCCAATGAGGCCAAGCAAATAATTAGTAAGAAATACTCTAGTCCATGTACTTTTCATCATCCCCTTTTTTCTCCTTCCCTGATCACCGAATGTCCTGGAGATATTACAACAATCTCTGGGTGTGAATTACTTACAAGTGTCTGGCTCATCTTCCATGGCATTTTAAGGATGGTGAACAGTCCAAACTCTGCCTCGGCTTAATTTTGATCCCTTGGTTTCATGGGGAGCTAAGGAAGATCAGTGTGGAGCGCTTCTGCAAATTACATACATAATCTGACATTTCCTCAGTGATTTATATAATGTCTGCATCTCTGCAAATTAATTCTAAATAACATATAGCTGAAGATTAGGCTGGTCAGGAGCGCTGAGGAGGAGCACGGTTGTCTGACAGTGGTGTCAGAGCAGCCCAGGATGAACTGAGACACTCACAATGTGCTATTTTTAGTCATTTTTATCCAGTTTTCCCCTTCAAAATCTGCCTTTCCATCTGACCATAATGCACCATCAAATCTCTGGCCAAAGGCTTCTCCCTGCTTCCCTCACCACCCTCCTCTAGAATCAGGAGCACAAGACCTCCAGGCCTCTTGCTTTGCCAACTTTTAGTGATCTTAATTGCCTAATTATCCACTCCAATGCAGTGATAAAGCTGCTTAATAATTCTGTTCACTTCTCATTCATTCTCTCCCTTCACAGATAAGAAAATGCAAAGACTTCTGGTGGAGATTTCAATCAATAATTCATGCCCTCCTGCCATCAGTTCTGTTTTCCCCTTCCCCTCTTGGATGCCCTGCTGCTTTATCTTGTCACTTTGGTTTCATCTTATCAGCTTGTTTTAATCATATTCTCTGTTTTAATCAGCAGTTAAAGCAATTCTGTTTTTTCCCTGGCACTTTATCGCTCATCCCTGCCCATCTCCCTTTATTTTCAAATCCGGCATTTACCTCTTCATTCCAGAACTTCATCTTCCTGCTGATGCAGGTTCATCCATCACCTCCTCTTTTAATAATTCCCCACTGTGACCACCAGACCACCAGCGGTAAAAATGTGGCACCCAGGATCCCACACCCTCTCCCCCAAGGGCAGGGCAAAGGACTGAAGGATGGTTTTATGGTTAAGAAATAACCTGGTGACCTTTTCCAGCCATTCCACCTGCAATTCCTTAACTGCATCAGGCTGAGAGGGCTGCACCAAACTTCACTCTGGGAAATCAGAAAATATCAGGGGGATGGAGCCAAGAAGCAAAGACAGCAGCCCTTCCTGAGCACTGGAAATGCCTGCTCTGGATGCTGGGTTTGCTCTGCCTTCCTCCAACCAGGGCAAGGCCTTCATCCCACCCACAGAGTGCTGTGAGGCAACAAAAGGCCAGATTGGTGGATCTGCACGAGCGTGGAAATTGTAAATCCATAGTGAGGAGGTTCTTTTTGTAGGTACAATGAAAGGTTAAGTGCATCCTGCAGCTGATGCAGCTCAGCACAGCTTTGTCATCGCCTTCTTCCCTAAGACAAATTCATTCCACTCTTCCACACCTTCCTGCCACCCTGCTCTTCCCATGCCCCAGCATGGAACGGGGCCAACGACTACATTCCTCATTCATCAAATCCCAGAATGGTTTGGGTTGGGAGGGACCTGAAAATCATCTCGTTCCACCCCCTGCCATGGGCAGGGACACCTTCCACTACCCCAGGTTGTTCAGAGCCACGTCCAACCTGACCCTGAACACTCCCAGGGATGGGGCAGCCACAGCTTCTCTGGGCAACCTGTGCCAGGGCCTGCCCACCCTCCCAGCCAAGAATTTCTTCCTAATATTTAATCCAAACCTACACTCTTTCAGCAAAGGAGAGCTGGTTAAAGCTTAAAAAAATAAATCAGTCTGTATACAGCAAGAAACCTGCCCTCTTCCATTACAGATTTCATCCCTTTCTCTTGCAGGTGAGACTTTTTTTCCCCAAATGAGACCAGTGAGAACAACTTTGCAGAAATGCTTCGTGCTCCATCTGCTCAGCTCCGACAACTTAATGGCACAAGGCTGCAGCAGCTCCTCTCCATTAAAAAAAAAAAAAACAAACACAATTTTCAATTTACTTACTAGCACAAATAAATAATAAAGAAAATGGCATCTGGCTGGAAGGCAGCATATTTTTAATTCCAGAAGAAGAACTACACCTACCTGATGGGAATGCTGATGGATGAACTGCCTGCCATGCCCAGCTCGAGGAGTCTTGAACGGCCAGATGATCAAACAAATGTCAAACTGACAATTACCATTTACATTTTCAGACAAGAATTTTGATTGGGTGAACTTTGCATTAACGAAGTGAACTTTAATAGTTACCAAGGAACTGTCTGGTCTCTGAACTCCACCAATTCCACCCTTTTCCCTGTCCATCCAGCTGCAATCCAAGCTTGCCTCCACACCATCACCTGCCACGACCTGCCCAGATCTCTGGGGAGAGAAATGAAGACGGGGAGAGAACTTGCCACGCTCATCCAGAAAGCAGAAACTAAAATGGGCTTCCCAACTCCTTCCTTGGCCTTATCAATCCTTCTGACACTGCCTTCCTTATTGGCATTAGGTCTGGTTCCTCTTTTTCCTTGCACTTTTTCAGCTGTTTTCCCCTTTGATCTGAGCAGACACTTGCTGAGCCTGGCAAAGGCACCGCCCTCCCGCCTTGGCATTTCCCTCTGAACTCACTTCTTCTCTGGTGCCTTCAAAACATACTT